GTGATCACTCACCTAGAGCCAACATCCTGGAATTCGAAGTCAAGTGGGCTTAGGAAGCATCACTATGAACAAAGCTAGTGGAGGTGATGGAATTCCATTTGAGCTCTTTCAAATCCTAAAAGATGATGCTGTGAAAGTGTTGCACTCAATATGCCAGCAAATTTGGAAAACAGCAGTGGCCACAGGACTGAAAAAAGTCAGTTTCATTCCAATCCCAAAGAAAGACAATGCCAAAGAATGTTCAAACTACCACACAATTGTACTCATTTCACACGCTAGCAAAGTAATGCTTAAAATTCCCCAAGTTAGGCTTCAACAGTCTGTGAATTTCCAGATGTTCAAGCTGGATTTAGAAAAGGCAGAGGAACCAGAGATCAAATTGCCAACATCTGTTGGATCATCGACAAAGGAAGAGAGTTCCAGAAAAACATCTACTTCTGCATTATTTAACTATGCCAAAGCCTTTGACTGTGTGGATCACAATAAACTATGGAAAATTTTTAAAGAGATGGGAATACCAGACCACTTTACCTGCCTCCTGAAAAATCTGTATGCAGGTCAAGAAGCAACAGTTAGAACTGGACATGGAACAACAGACTGGTTCCAAATTGGGAAAGGAGTGCGTCAAGGCTATATGTTGTCACCCTGCTTATTTAACTTATATGCAGAATACATCATGTGAAATGCCAGGCTGGATGAAGCACAAGCTGGAATCAAGACTGCCAGGAGAAATACCAATAACCTAAGATATACAGGTGACACCACCCTTATGGCAGGAAGTGAAGAACTAAAGAACCTTTGATGAAAGTGAAAGAGGAGAGTGAAAAAGTTGGCTTAAAGCTCAACATTAGGAAAACTAAGATCATGACACCCAGTCCCATCACTTCATGACAAATAGACTGGGAAACAATGGAAACCATGAGAGACTTTATTCTGGGGGGCTCCAAAATCACTGCAGATGGTGACTGCAGCCATGAAATTAAAAGACGCTTGCTCCTTGGAAGAAAAGCTATGACCAACCTGTACAGCATACTAAAAAGCAGAGTCATTACTTTGCTGACAAAGGTCCATCTAGTCAAAGCTATGGTTTTTCCAGTGGTCATGTATGGATGTGAGAGTTGGACTATAAAGAAAGCTGAGCATCAAAGAATTGATGCTTTTGAACTGCGGTGTTGGAGAAGACTCTTGAGAGTCCCTTGGACTGCAAGGAGATCCAACCAGTACATCCTAAAGGAAATCAGTCCTGAATATTCATTGGAAGGACTGATGCTGAAGCTGAAACTTCAAAACTTTGACCACCTGATGAGAAGAACTGAGTCATTGGAAAAGACCCTGATTCTGGGCAAGATTGAAGGCAGAAGGAGAAGGGGATGACAGAGGATGAGATAGTTGGATGGCTTCACTGACTCGATGGACATGAGGTTGAGCAAGCTCCAGGAGATGGTGATGGAAAGGTAAGCCTGGCGTGCTGCAGTCCATGTGGTCGCAAAGAGTTGAACACCACTGAGGGACTGAACTGAACTGAATTGAACTAAGGAATAATTAAAATTTATGCCTGAGGAACTGTGCTACTTCTATTTTCCAACTCATGTGGTTCCCTTCATAGTTTCATGAGGTGGATTATATATCTCCACTTCACAATGAAGAAACTGAGACTAAAATCTTCGGTTTTGGTTCCGTAACTAGTGAGTATAACATTTTAGACGAGAAGAAGCAGAGCAGAATCAATAGTGTCAGAAGCAGAGCCTGACCAAAACTGCATCTGCCACTACCTGCCACTGTGATTGAAAGTCTACTTTCAGAAAATCATTATTTGGAGTTCTTAGGTTATTTTACTTGACTTGATTTTTTTTGCTGTTGTTTCATTTTAGAAACTTATTAAATATATGTGTTCCCCTAAGAGGAATAATGCCTAAAGATTTTCACCTAAAATATTACTGAACATTTAGACATTTTATAGGTAGACACTGTCTTTATGAGTGCTACACCTTATATCTAATTTCAGTAAATCTAAGACACCATTAATTGGAAAATGCGCCGATTTTCTATGTACTACTGAAAAAATGCCAGTTAACCATGATAGTGATAATGATTTTTTATCATATCAACTTAAAGTTACATCGTGATTTCAGAGATGTTAAAATGTGAAAAATTCACTTTTTACATTTGACAAAATAATGTAAAACCTCTGAGCATGAAGAAAGTAAAACAAGATGGAATTCAAACTAACATCACCTGCTTTATCCATTTTAAAAAAGATTACTGAAATTACTAGTTAATTCGTTAAAAGGGTTTGAGACACCATATTTAGATAGTTCTTTGTTATTGCAGAATTAGAATATGCACAATCATTATATTCAGAGGAATACAGTTGCTATAGTTATGAGTTTAATTAAGAAAATACTGATTTAATATCTATTACTTAATATTACTTTATTTTCTACAATGTAAAGGCAAAACTGGAAGAGGCACAATGTTCTTTGTTTCTTAGAATTTCTAACTGAGGCCAAGGTGAGGAACTGTTTAAATGAGTAAAAACACCATAACTGTGTCCTAATATCATTTGTAGAGTGCTTCTAAGAACACTTCTATATTCAGCTCAATACAACCGTCATTGCCAATCCTGATTCAAGAATATCCAATCATCACTTCTTGTATAACCTGAAGTATCCTCTGTTTATCCTCTCCTATTATTGTACCCTTTACTTTATCAACCACCTGAGCAAAATTTCAAATTACTGTTTTTTATTTCTTGTCTTTAAATATTATCCATTTATAATTAACTATTAAGTAAACATCAGAATAGACAGCAATAGAAATATCATAAACCTCTGAGTTGGAGTTGAACTTGGATTACCTTTTCAGACTTCATTTCTTTAGTTGCAAAACATAAGAATTAAAATAACGTAAGTATCTGGTATTTAATGGGTACCAGTATACATTAGCTTCCCACAGACACATGCTTTGTAAACAGTCAAGTGTGTCGATTTCTTTAAGGATGCCCTACGTTGTGACATTTTGGAGCTCTAGCAGTAAGAGAAGACACAACAGTGGTGGCTGAGGTTAAAAAGAAAATAAATATCCTAAAATTCTGGGGGACACCTAAGTAAGTAATAAGTGTAGTCGCTCAGCTGTGTCCAACTTTTTGCGACCCCGTGAAGTGTAGCCCCGCAAGCTCCTGTGTCCATGGCATTCTCCAGGCAATAATACTGGAGTGGACAGCCACTTCCTTCTCAGGGGACATTGTCGGGGGACATCTAAGATATATTTAATAAGAAACACAATTTAATAATTTAATAATAAATATTTTACATTTCTCAAATGGGCATAAAGTTACTTATTAACATATACTTTTCAAAATACTCTTAATTAATACTTATACTTTTTAACAATTTGTTCATCTTTCCCTCCTACTTTTCTTACTTTTACTTCCTAACTCAGCTTCTAAGTCCCTATTCTTGTATAGTTGTGGCTTTGTTAACTAGTGCTTAGAAGAAGCCTTTCTAATTCCTTTGTCCCTTCACCTCAATCTTTGGATGAAAGTCAAATATGCAGAAAAGAGACTCCAATGGTTGTTTCATTCTCATCTCTGTAATGGGAAAAACCAGAATATACTTCTCTTAAAACTGTCAGTCACCTAAGTTTTCCTATTCCTATTTAAAACAGCTAACTTTGATTCAATGTTTTGCGAAATTCTAGACAAGTGTCAGTACCTGTGTAAAACTAACTGAGATGAACAAAAATCCTTGTTTGTTATTTCTGGTCCCTGAATTAATTTTTCTAAGAGTTTCTACTTTGATTCTTCTATAGTAATCGGGATCCTAGGTACAAGTTAGTAGCTTTTTGGTGACAATCCTCAAGCAGTAGTTTGATAAGGATCTCTCTCCCCCTCCACCATACTGGAAATGTTTCTGGAAATATTTAATCTCAATTTCACACTGAATTTTTATTGTGACTTCTTATGTTGGTTTTGGACAACTTTTGATAAATAAATAGCCACACTTTATTTTTCCATATTTTAACTGCTATTTTGTGCATCTTCCTACTTGGTACAAAGAAGGTAGAAAAAAAAAATCAGTACTGATCAGTGAAAATTCATAGTTATAAAAAACTGAAAAGAAGCAACACCTGTACTTTCTGTTTTATTTTTACTGTTTCAAGACAGGCAGAACTTTAATAATTAGTTTTAGGAAACAATTTTAACAAGTCAACAAAAAATTGGAACACCTCAAATTCACTTTTCTGATGCATAATGACTAGTAATATCCCTACAGTTGTTTTTGTGTGACTAATTTCTCAGCACAACATATTTACTTTTAGAAAAAGTTTTCTTTATATTAGTTCTTTATAGGATTCTCCCATAACAAGGTTTTATTATACATTCACCTTAGCTATGGCTTCCCTGGTGGCTCAGAGGTTAAAGCGTCTGCCTGCAATGCAGAAGACCCGGGTTTGATCCCTGGGTCGGGAAGATCCCCTGGAGAAGGAAATGGCAACCCACTCCAGTATTCTTGCCTGGAGAATCCATGGAGGGACGATCCTGGTGGGCTACAGTCCACAGGGTCGCAAACAGTCAGACACGACTGAGCGACTTCACTCACTTTCACCTTAGCTAATGCTTCCTGCTCTACTTTCTTCATATTTATATTCTCAGAAGGAATGCTACTATTTCCTAAAATACACACTAAAGTTTTCAGCTGGCAGTCAAGTTAGTTACAAAACTGAAGCTATTATAGTTGAAGTAACTTGGCAATTAAAACCAAATTACATTGATAGGTCTTATTAGGTAAATTATTCAACATAAATCCTCTAGTTCAATTAATTGTTGTATAACAGAACTTTTAAGTTTAAGAATTCCTATACTAAGAAGCCAATGATATCTTGTTTCAAATGAATATTTATTTTTTCTTTTAAGCAAGTAATCGGACATTTCCTATAGTTAGATTTACAATGGCACAACTCCTAGGTAAGCCCTTACCTTTCCAATCTTCTAATCTTAGCAAAGAGCCCTCCTAATGAGCAGGGCAGACAGATTGGTGAGGACTCCAGCTCTACACCCCTGGTTCCTGAGCCCTACCTAAAACTCTACAGCGGGAAAGGTAATTGTAAGGAAGTATTTTCAAAGCAAAATAAAACACTTTAGAAGTTCTGACTCTTGTCCATCACCTATTTTACAAATGATGAAAGTGAAGACCCCTTCTTTGTCCACAGTGACTTCTGTTCTATTAATTCCCTTTAGCTGAGGAAAAACATTTTTTGAAACCAGATCTTTTCATACACAATGTTTATTTCCTCAGAGGAAGAAAATGTTTCCCACCTTTCACACTTGGGAACTTACATACCTTGAAAAATTTTAAGGATTTTTGACTCAAGTTTAAAATTTAAAATATTTTACTAATTATGAAAATTACCACTTCTAGCCAATAGTAGAAAGAATTCCTAATGTATGTCAGGTATTTTGTTAGACCCTGAGGATCTAGAAATGAAAATATATGGCTCTTTGACATGAAAGATCTTGCAGTCCAGTGAAGGAGCCAAAGTGACAAATAACTATAATTCACTATACTGATATCATAATAAAGGTGCATGTAATGTGACAAAAAGCACAGAAGATGGGAGTAATATATGCCTGACAATGTAGAGTAACTTTTACATCTAAACACTCTTTCTTCTAAACTTGCTTGCTTTTTAAATAAATACCATATAAATTCTAGTATTCTAAAATTGATGTTTTTGGAACTATGATAAATGGCATTTCATCAAAAACACACTGAATCCATAATATATAACACATTGATCTCTAGTATTCTCTTACCTAATAAATCCATCATTTCATTAGAGAAGGTAAGAGCAGCTTTAAAAAAAAAACTTTAATAAATTTGTGATGTTGATCACTTTTCAAATATTTTGTTCTCAAGTGGTCACATATCAATAGTATTTATTGGATCATAAATTTAAATCAGTTCATAAATCATGTGACTCAACTTTGTGTAAACTTTCTAGACTTTTGAACTATATCCATTCCAGAGTGTAAAAGCTTCACTCTAAACTATGTAGGGCTTTGAACCTAAAATGCAATTTGAACAGGCTTTTATGACATTGTTTCTATTAAAAGTGTGATTATGCAGCTCTCAGGTAAACTCTTTCAAAGCGGAGGGATAGGAAAAATACTTAAGGCTTTCTGCTGAGGTTCCCAAAGGTCTTCACAGTAGTGTAAAGGCAACTAGAACAGGACTCTAAATTTGGAAACAGTTTAAACACATGCATGACTAAAGGTGGTTTCTTTGCTAACAAAAGGAAATTAAATTCTCTTTGGAGAAAGAAATATCATATAGTCCTTCTATAACTCTATAACTTTTCTCTATAACTTTCCCTGGATCTGTGGTATTCACTAAATGACCAAAACAGCAAGACCAAAATCCATATGACAGAAAAAGATCCACAGGTAGACCATTTATACATTATAGCAATCACACAGGGACTTTAAAGTAACAATGATTAATGTGTCCAAGAAAACAAATAAGATAAAAATTCTTACTAGGAAAATGAAACCCATTAAAAATAGTTAAGTGGAAATTCTATAAAAATAAACTTACAATAAGTTAAATTATGAATTTAATAGATATGCTTACTGGATGATAAGATACTGCAGAAAAGAAGATTATTAACTAGGAAACAGAGGAACAGAAAAATAAAGTTAGAAAAAGAATTAAAAATATACAAAAGAGAAGGAAAGTCATATGGGAATACTAAAATTATCTAACATGCCTGAAATTGGAGTACAAGAATCAATGTAATGAAAGAATATTTGCGCATATATTGGACAGAGAATATTCCAAAATGGATAAAAACTAGCTGGAAACATCAAGCATAAAATATATCAAAAAGCTCTGAGATCAAAGAGGATAGGCACCAGAGCTGTACAGTCACTGAAAAGGGAAAGAAAAAAAAAAAACTTAAAAGAAGATAGAGGGGCAGAAAAGGACACCTTACCTTCAAAGGAGTGACAGACAATAAGACTGACAGCTTACTGAGCAGACATGATGCAAGTCAGAAGACAATGAAATGACGGTTTAAAGTACTGAAAAAAATAAATGCCAATCTAGACGCCTTCCATCAGTGAACGCATCCTTGGAAAGGTGGTGAGATGAAGAAATTTTCTGATAAATAACATATGAGAAAAGTCAGTTCAAGGGCAACTGCACTAAAATATATAACCAAATTGTTCTTTAGGAAGCAGAACTTCACAAAGCAGAGGCATAGTAAAGCGAAGGATGGGTAAGCTTTGAAAGCATTGACCTGAGGGTGAATCTAAATGAATACTGACTGTTCTAAATAATAATATCTAGTGGAGTTTGAAGTGTGTGTGTATGTGTGTGTGTATACACATATACGTACTTGTATGCATATATGCATACAAACACACATATATGTATCTGTACTTGTTTATATATATCATTAAAATATATAACAATAGAAAAGTTTAGGAGGTAGGCAAATGAACTTAAAATGCGTTAAGTCCAGGAACTGATAAAAATATTAATAAAAAGTAGGCTGTTGAAACCTCTGGTACAGCAATCCCCAACATTTTTGCCACCAGGGACCAGTTTTCTGAAAGACAATTTTTCCATGAACTGGAGATAAGGGAATGGTTTCAGGATGATTCAAGCATATTACATTCATTGTGTACTTTATCTCTGTTATTATTGTATCAGCTCCACTTGAGATCATCAGGCATCAGATCCCAAAGGCTGGGGATCCCTGCTCTATGGATATCACTTAAATAATAAAGACATGTATATAATTAAAAAGCTAAGAGAATACAGAAAATACTTTAAAATTACACAATTATTCTAAAAGAAAATAAGAGTGGAGGGGGAAAATAAACAAAAACAAAAAAACTGAAAATATAAAGATAATAAATTTAAATTCCACATGTATCATTACTTACATTTATTATATGAAATTTAAATGGATTAACTACTCCAAATTTTTTAAAAATTGTCAGACTGAATACAAAAAAATCAAATGATACTCTGCTTACAATGGATATGCCTTAAATATTAAAAGACAGGCAGTTTGAAAGAAAAAGGATGAAGAAACATGCCATGAAAAACTATACATAGAGAGAAATATCTTGTAATAATTGTATTAGGGTTCTCCAGAGAAACAACCAGCAGGAGATGATATAAAGATATACAGATATAGGGCTTCGTCGTAGCTCAGTGGGTAAAGAATCTGCCTGCAATGCAGAAGACTTGGGTTCAATCGCTGGGTCAGGAAGATCCCCCGGAGAAGGAAATGGCAACTTACTCCAGCATTCTTGCTTGGAGAATCCCAAGAACAGAGGAGCCTGGCAGGCTACAGTTCATGGGGTCGCAAGAGTCAGACACAACTTAGTGACTAAACCACCACCACCACAGAAATAGAAAGAGACTTGGTTCATGCAATTATGGAGGATAATAAATCCCTACCTCTGCAAGGCGACTAGGCAGAAGGAGTTCTCTATTACTCTGGGAAGAGTCAAGACTTTCCGTTCCATTGAGACCTTTAGCCAATTGGTTGAGGTCCACCCACACTGAGGAGAGCAATCTGCTTTACTCAGTCTACCAATTCAAACGTTAATCTCATCCAAAGACATTCTCACAGACACACCCAGATTATTGGACCAAATAACGGGGTACACATCGCCTAGCCAGGTTAATATGTAAAATTAATTATCACAACAACAAAAAAAGAAATTCAATTGAAATATATAGCAATCTTAAGTTTGTATGGACTTAACACTACAGCACCAAAAGAGATGAAGAAAAGCCTTACAGAATTGAAAAGAAAAATAGACAAATTTCAAAAATACTGAAAGAACATTAACATAAATTCTTCTTGTAATTAATAGAAAAGAAAATCAAACAACCAACACAAAAACAATTGACAAAAAACATAACTAAGAGATGTGGAACACTGTCCCTAACAATAAAACAGTACACTCTATTTCTACCTACTAGAAATACTTTATATAAAAGGCCATCTATGGGTCACAAAACCAGTCTCTACAGATTTATAATGATGAAACTAACATACAAGTCAGTCCCCTACATATGAACAAATTCCGTTCTAAGAGCACATTCATAGGTCCAATGTGTCTGTAAATCCAACAAAGTTAGCCTAGGCATCCGACTAACACAATTGGCTATAAAGTACAGTACTGTAATAGGTTTTATAGTATTTTTCACATAAAAAAACATAAAAAGCAAACACACCAAATAAAGAAAATATTTTTAATCTTACAGTATTTCACCTTGAAAAGCACAGTAGTACAGTACAAGAGCAGGCATACGGAGGCTGGCATCGAGTGAACAGGCAAGGAGAGTTACTGACTGGAGGAGGAAGAAAAGAAAGAAAGGAAGGGAAGTTGCTCGGTCGGGTCTGACTCTTTGCGACCCCATGGACTGTAGCCTTCCAGGTTCCTCTGTCCATGGGATTTTCCAGGCAAGAATACTGGAGTGGGTTGCCATTTCCTTCTCCAGGGGATCTTCCCGACCCAGGTCTCCTGCACGGTAGGCAGATGCTTTACTGTCTGAGCCACGAGAGAAGTCCAGGGGGAAGGAGAGAAGGTGGGAAGTGGTAGAACCGAAGGATCATCAGCAATAGGAGAAGGAGGGCAATCTGCAATTTCACTCACGCCTGACATTGATGGCACAGGTTCTGGTTCCTTGCTGGATTCAATTCTATCTACCCTTTGGAAAAGCCATCTAGAGATGTCTGGATAGTAGCTCTTTGTTGTTGTTGTTGTTTTTCTTCTCATCATGGATGATATGGTAGCACTGGATTGCCTTCTGAAGTGTTGTTGCAACCTTTGTGTACCATTCTGCGTTCAGGTCCTGTTCCTCAAAAACTAACATTGCCTCCTCAGATAAAAAAATTCCTCTTGCCATTTCCTGCATCCTGAATCCCTTTGGCTCTTCAATTACTTCTTCTTCCTCTTGTCTCTCTTCATTCTTTCTCTTTCTCAACTCCATCAGGTCTGTGTTGGTAAGCTCTTCCTGTTGCACAGCAAGGAGTTCAATGAAGCCATCTTCTTGCAGTTCTAGCTCCAGTT